TGGGGACTGGGTTCGAGTCGCACTGAGAAGGTACTTAGTGAGATTCGAACCTGCAGCCTCAGAGGTGAAAGGCAAGTGCGCTAACCACTTGGCCACCGGGTTGTTCCACAAAAGATCCACACGGAGGAAATTTCAGTTGTCTGGAAGGGGAGGGGACAAAATTTTGTTTCTGCTAATAGCAGGTGAACAAGGACACAGGGTTCGAATTAACAAATCACGATTCACTGTCTGTTTTGGGGATTTCGCTACTCATTTTGCTAGTATACAGTAATATAAAAAATCACTATTCAACCCGAGAAGATTTCACATGTGAAAAAGTAAAATGGATAACATTGAAAACGTTTGTTTTCAAACAATTCTTTGTGTATTTTTGAGGCGAAACATTCTCTCATATGCGCTGATATTTCTAGACTGTCACAATAGAATCTGCTGCGTTTCCTAATGGCGTCAAGCTGTGTTTTGATTTAATGTTTAATTTAATATGATAGGCTGACATTATAAAAATGCTGTGCCGAGTGGTTATATTACTACCTTAAAAAATAAGCAGAAACTCGACGTTTCGAGCGAAGGCCCTTCGTCAAGAGTTAGTAGACATTATAAAAATGTGTCAAAATCCACTAAGGAAAGGTATTTCAAATGTCATGTTACTTGTTCATGCAATTATGATCAGATTTGAATTTCACAATCACTTGGGTTTAAAACCCAAATCAAACTGTTCAATAACTTTCTAGTTTAATTCCAACATCATTGTTTTCTCACTTTCTGTCCCGTTTATAATCTTACAACAACCAAATTCACTTTTTATTGCACGACTTAATGAGTAGAAATTTGCTATTCACTTTGAAATATTTAATTCGCACCCTGCCCTAGCAGGGCAAAGGGATGTGGGGAGGAATGTGCAATGGGAGGGGGAGGTATGGATGTTTTCAACATGTGCAAAGGGGTCGGGGGAGGTATGGATGTTTTCCAATATGACACAATTGTGAACCTATGCAGCCAGAGACTTGAACTGTAAAGTAGCCGGAGCCGAAAAAATGGAGTTTGCACAGCAATGACACATAATGTCACATATTAATATAGTTCAGTTGTTTGTTAATATTTCACACATATTTGGTAAATGGTATTTTTGGCATAATAACAGGCTTGGCTAATCAACCAGCGATATATTAACCTAAAAGACTTCGAAAACTAAGAACAGTCAAAGATTTATGCACCAAAAATTTGGACATGTTAAATAATTATATCAAAACTACAAAAGAATATTGTGTAGACCTGATCTGATCTTTGTGATTCTGGCTTTGCCACTCCTTCGTCCGCTGTTTCAAACACGTCAGGCGAGTCAGTGTCCTGAATAAAAGAAAATATATAATTTTACTACCTTATTTTCAAATATTTTAACAGTTTAACAGTTTAAAATACATACAATGCCTGGCAGGCCAGCATATTTTCCTTCCATTTTGGAACTTTATGCACTATTCTATTGATTCTATTTCTATCATAACGACAAATTACGGCTGTTTTCCGACGATTTCCGAAAACACTACAAAAAGCCACTGAGCTCGATATTGCAACAATGGTGATTTGACTAAATTTTGATCAAGACATGTACAAGAAGAACGAAAATTACGAAATCCAGCACCAGTGCTAGAAAGAACGTCTTAGAATGAGTAAAACTTCAAAGATTGGTTCTTAAATGTTGTAAAATGAAGAAAATATAGCCCTGTGAATTTCGCAAATTTTGCATATATTTGTATTTAATACGCGCGGGAAAATAGGAAGAGATTATTTCGCTGGCCTCAAAGCATTGAACTATAAGTAAACGTTTATTTATAGTTCAATGCCTCAAAGTGACAAAACGTAACAAAGCAACGGTTTTACTAACACTAACTCTCAGTCCAAACACCAACTCTGACCCTAATCCTTACCCTAACCTAACCCTACTACAGTCTACAAATTCGTTTCTAAACCAATCTTGAAGAAAAAAGTTTCGACGAAATGTCATTCTGAGGTTAGCGAAATAATAACCACTTTCGCCAACCTCGTACCCAGGGCCATTTTACCTCCACGGAACCTCCACGGTACTGACGTCGACGTAGCAGTACCGTCCGTCAGCCTAGTCCCTAGGCCTCTTAGTTCGCCTATTGCGCGTTTCTGCATATTAATGAGGTGACGGCTCCTCGCCACTGCTCCTCGCTCGGTGACGTCACGGAAATCAAAAGCGTGCACAGAGGACTTGGGACTAGTCTGACCGTCCGTGGAGGTAAAATGGCCCTGGGTACTAGGTTGCACTTTCGCCTCAAAAATGCTTATTTTTCCCGCGCGTAATGCAAATATATACAAAATTTGCGAACTTCACAGGGCTATATTTTCCTCATTTTAGAACAATTCGCAACCAAAGTTTAAAATTTAACTCATTTTAAGATGCTCTTTCCAGCTATGGTGATGGATTTCAATTCGTTCTTCTTGTTTAGATCAAAATTTTGTCCACAGCTGCAATAATCCCGTTCTGGACCTACCACAACTCTAATTATTAAATGAGGGTCCTGAAGGGGTAAAATGGGAACTGGGATTGATCTATTTTTAGACTGGGAAAATGGGATTTGGGTTGCTGGGACTGGGATTTGGCCACTGGGAATGGGAAATGAAGTCCTCAAAATTGGGAGTGGGATTGAGGTAATGCGAGTCAATTCCCAATTTTTCTGCGTTTTGAATATTTTAAAATACAATTTTTATCCGTTTTTGGTGTCTTTGGTCATGATTTTTGTTGTTAACTATATTATTTACAACACTACCTGCGAAGAGGCATACTCTGGCGCCCGGAATTCAGGGTTTTCTGATTATGCGTGTCTCAGAATGCTGCAAATGCCATTTCCGGGATTCAAATTTAAAAAATTTCTACCGATTTATAATTCTACCGATAAATAAAGAGTTTTTTATTGACTGGGATTTCAATAACTGGGACTGGGATTTCTAATAAAAATCCAACTGGGACTGGGATTTTGCCAAAATTTCAGGTGGGAAATGGGATTGGGACACCCCCTCCAGGACCCTCTTAAATTGATTTCTATTTATTATTAAATTGAAATATTATTTCAATCACTTTAGGTCAGAGCTAATAGGTTTAGTGGCGTAGCCAGGCTCTAAACTTGGGGGGGGGGGGGAATTTGTATTGCATTTCGAATGCGAGCGCCAAAGTAGTTGCGAGGAATCTAGGAGGGTCCGTGGGGATTGTCCCTCGGGAAAATTTTGAATTTTTATATTCATTAGAACGCTATTTCACGCCTTTTAGGACGAGGTTTGAAGAGAAAGCATTTTTAAGTCACCTAATGTACGTTGTGTGATTGAAAAAATATTTTTGTAAAACATTGTACTGTACACACAAATACAACAGCAAAATCAGCACGATGCCTTCGTTTTTGAAGTGGAAATTATATTGTAATAAAAAGAATGAACTTTGAACTTTGACTGCTGCTATGCGCGTTAAAATTCAAGTTCAAATGTGCTTTCAACCAGGGACGTAGCGAAGAATCGATCTGAAGTT